TTTTTTATCTTCCAGTTCCACCAATTCTTGATTTTTATCTCCAGATCCAATACAATCAACTATCTTCTATCCATATTATCCCCCACCACCATCACAAACAATTCCATCAACCTACCCCTATTCTCCTTATAATTAGTTGTACTATTACCCATCTCATGTCCAACCATAATAAGGTGGACCATCGATAGAAGTAGAGGTTGGGGATGAGGAGCTTGCAATAATAGAGGATAAACATGTTTATATAGAGCCTGAGGATAATAAATAAGTTTATTTTATTATTAAATTTTATAATTTGATATGTTATGTAATTGAGAAAGATTAGTATATGCAGGTTTAATCCCATGAGGCAGACCACCAGCAAGATTTGAGACATAATACAGAGTAGATATGATTCTCCTTTTTTATCTTAGAAGAAAATTCTAATTAAAGAAGTTAGGGATATATGGTTTAGAAAATTTCACGTATATAAATATTACCACTTAATATTTGTGATTATATTTATATTAATATTATTTATTATATCAATGTTATACGAAAAGATTTTAGAAGGTTTCCTAAGCATGGTTTAATAATCAAAACTAAGTTTTAAAAAAAGAGGCTCTACTTATCTTAGGGACATATTCACATATATTAAAAATTATGGGGAGCATCCATTATGGATTAGAGAGGGAGTGTGGGATGACTTGAATAGAGCTTGGGCGAGCCTTAAGTTCATCAAGTTAAGAAAGCAAAATAAGAATAATAAAGCATTTGACTATGGGGGTTTAGGAAGCTCTCTTCACACGGGTGCATGGTTCGGTGCCTCACACTAAGCATTGACGATGATTGATAAATGATTATATTAATTAAAGAAATATATGTATCTTATTTTAATTATACTCTCTATTGTAGAAAGAGTTTTTTGGCTGGGACCTAACACCATTAGAGTTGCATACACGAACTCACCAACATCAAGTTGTCATTGATGGGTTGATGAAAAGGCAAAAAACTTCACGTGAGTATTAATTTTTTAGTTGTAATCATAAATAAATATAAATTGATTTTTATGGATTTAAACTCTCGCAGGATGGTTTTGTACGATTTTGACAGGGTCAGCCGTCTACTACTGAGGGATCATCGTTAGGATCAGCGCAATACTCTGATTACCACACGTGGTCACAGGCTGTTGGAGGGAGATACAAGAGAAGGGTGCATGGATTATGTTCTCAAGCGTATACATATGAAACCAATACAAAGAATAGGTCCTAGATCCATGGCGACTTAGGATTGGGTTGGGTCAGGTTGAAGTCTTGAGACAGGATTCTTTCATAAATTGACCGGGATTGGCAAAGCAAAAAAGAGTGTGAAATCTTTGATCATGGACAGGAAAAGAGGAAAAATATCATATGTAATTCATTCATGAAAGTGGATGAAGAGAGATGGGTATTTGATCCGATATTTGACAAATACCAATTCAGTCCACCTTAGGATCTTTTGATGATAGTGGAGTGGATGATATCGTCAGCCAGAGGGTTGCTACTCCTGCTAAAGATAGATAAAAGAGATGAAATAGATACATGCCAACATACTCACATAATGTACTAAGATGAAGATGGAGATGTGATCATATCTAAGCCAAAATAGAAAAAAAAAGGGACAACAGTCTGAGTATGAATAAGAGGGGAGTGAGGAGACGGAAGATGATTAGATAAGTTAATCTTTAAGTTGTTGTAGTACTTTGGAGAACTTATTTTAAAAACTTATGATTGTGTTTAAGTTATTGTAGTAGTTTGGACAACTTATTGTTGTGTTTTCAAAACTTATCTTTAAAGTTTTTATGTTTTGAAGTTGTTTATGTTAAACAATTGAGTTTGATGTTGTTAGGCTTATATTTTGAACTATTTTGTTTTGTTTTGAGTGTCAACATTATGTGATAATGTATTTTAATGTGTATACATTTTTTTATTGATGTAGGTTTTTAATATAAACGTTTTGTGGATAATTAAGGGGCTACCAATTTTTTTTGCATATGTTATAGGTTTTTCGATAGCTTACCGCCAAAAATTTTCATCGGAATACTTTGATACTGGGCGATGGGACGAATTATGATGGAAATTAGTCAGCCACAACCAAAATTTCTGCGGCATTACCGACGGATAAACCACCGGAAATTCCAGGAAAAAGTTTTTGGCAGATTTATAATAGGTAATGCCTCCAAAAATTTCGGCGGTGACTTGCTCTAGTTCGTGCACATAAAAAATATGAACCGCTGGAAAGCTGTTAGAAGTATTTACCTGCGAAAAAAACCATCTAATTTCTTTTCCTATACGGCTTATATCGGCATTATTTTTTCCATCGGAAAACCACTCGAAACTATCAAATCCTCCAAAAAATGGCAATTTTTGTTGGTATTAGATGATTTTTCTATTGTGTGTGTGTGTGTGTTTATATATATATATATATA